CTGCATGACCAGACCTATTTATAAGACCCCGGAGAGGGACCTCTGATTGACATCATCCCTAATTACCTACACAATCAGAGGTGGACAACTTCTAGACCAGACCAGGTTCCATTTGATGGGAGTCCCCTAAGCCGGATTACATCATTAAATGCGCATTACATTAGCGCTTCTGGTGAGTTTGCAATCTCGCTATATTATCGCACACCACCGGATTGTGTATATTTTCCTGGCTAATTATCCACTCCCAGATTTATCACCTTCTGGAACCTCATCAACCTTTGGGGTACAGCAGATATGAGTGGGGGTTAGGGGTACAGAGGTTAGCAGAAAGGGGGTTTGGGGTTTTGTGGTACAAAGGTGAGCAGAGCATTACGGGTTCAGAGATAAGCAGAGATGGGGGGTTTTGTGGTTTTGTGATACAGAGGTGAGTGGAGCGTTAGAGGTTCAGAGGTGAGTAGAAGGGGGTTTGTGGTACAGAGGTGAGTGGGGCGTTAGGGGTTCAGAGATGAGCAGAGAGGGGGGTTTGAGGTACAGAGCTGAGCAGAAAGGGGTTTTGTGATACAGAGGTGAGTAGAGGGGGTTTGGGGTGCAGAGCTGAACAGAGAGGGAGTTTGGGATGTGGAGGTGAGCACAGGGGTTTAGGATGTGGAGGTGAGCAGAGAGGGAGTGTGAAGGTGAGCACCCAAAAATGGAGGTTCACATCTGTGCTGATGCATGCAGCCCTGTTCATTCTCACGGGCTTCCCAACCCTAAGGTTGAGAAACACTGCCATGGCAGACTTGCTGCAGGAGGGAGAATGGAGTCATCTGCAAGTCATACCCTCTTCTGCCATAGTGGCATGACCAAATAGGAAAAGGGCGGCTCAGACACACTATAGGATGATGACAGAAGGCAGAGTGCAGAAACAGACAAAACTTATCCAGTGTGGAAGAGGTGGTGGGAGGTGCGGCAGCAGACCACACATGGGTACCACAAAAGGGAAAGGAGGAACACTCAGAGGGAGAGACTGAAGAGCAGTAAGGGATAAAACTGTTGAATGGAAGTGGCAGCTTGAAGAAAACAGCAAGCAGCAGCTGTCCGAATCTAGTGACCACCCAGTACCTCTGTGAGTATGGGATATGCTCTGTTGAGTTTGGAGATTCTTCATTCCACCAGTGGCTGCTCATCAAGAAAACCTGCACTGTTCTGACCCTCCTTTAAAAGGCAATATTGTGATTCTCAAGCATATAATACAGCCTTACAAAGTGCATAGGCAGAAACGCAATAAATCATTTACTGCACACTGGAATAACTTTATGGTTCCTGGGAATGCAATAGATGCAGAACTAGGCCTGGTTGTTTGAAAGTGCTGATGATATCTGTGTGAGGTCTACCCCCTCCTCGTTTGCCTCATCCTCCAATTCTTCCTCAGCATCAGGATCAGCAGGCCCTTCAAGCACCCTAAAATGAAGCACAAATATCTGCCAAAAATAGTGATATGAAACACCCACATGTGCTGGAATTACATATTAAAATTGCTCCAGAAGTTAAAGCAGCAGCAGTAAGAATTCACCAAGTACCTCTGTGAGTATGGAACAAAGACAGAATTTAGAGATCCTTCATCCCAGCAGTGGCTACTCATCAAGAACACCTGCACTGTTTTGGCCCCCTTTAACGTGAAACAAAAACTGTGAGCACTGATTAGGAGGGATAAGCAACACACACTATGTAGACTGATAGCCTGTGCACTGGCGGCATAGATGTAAGGTAAAAAAGCTATCCTGGGGTCACCAGGAACCTCTGCCCACTGCTTCCATCCTTAAAGTGTTACAAAACCCAGGACCCTGCATTAAGCTATATCTGGTCTCCCACAGTACACACAACATGGAAATGCAATTATTTTAGTAAATAAAAACTGCTAAATACATTTTCTCATCAGAAGTTAGAGCAGTCTTATGGCTTCTATCAGTGTTCCACCAAGCATTGGTTAAAGCTTATAGGAAGAGTTTTTTTTCTAATCTAGGAGGATGCAAAACCCCTGACCTCTGTCTGGGACAGTGCTGATTGGCCCTGTGCTGATCACATGCACTCTCCCAAGAAAAAAAAAAACCTCTTTAGCAATACACACTAAACTGAGCATGTGCAGAATGGGTACCGGTAAAGTATGTCTTATCAAGAGATAAAATGTGGACATTTGAAGAAGAGGAGGAGCAGAGAAGACGGGGTCAAATGGCCTTTTTACACAATGCAGAGGAGTAACCCATTAGGCTCCACAGTGAGTATAACAAGCATGCTTTACTGCATATACAGTCTGATTTTACTGTTGTGGGTTTAGAAACACTTTAAGCCTGGTACACACACAGATAGTTTCTTTTTTTTCAACCCAGAGGGCTGAATGAAAAAAACTGAGGAACTCGCTGTACTATGAGATGTGAGTACAGTGTGCTACTTGCTGAGCTGTTGTGCGTGTATAAAATAAATCATAGTTACAATTAGAGATGAGCGAATCGAACATGGCGAAGTGGAATTCGTTCCGAAAATTAGCAAACTTTGGATGCACGAATCGAATTTTCCCAAAAATGGCGGCGACATGTGTGGCGACGGAGCGGGGATCTCTGGGAAGGCGTGCAGACAAGGCGCGCTGACCCATAATGCATTCATTCATGACATGTGATCGCATTAGCCAATCAGCAGCCAGCCAGCCAGCACTGTGTAATGGTGGAGCTATAAATTGCGGCCATCTTAGAATTCTCCATTGGCCTCCGGTCATTCAAGAGAGACAGACCTGTCTGTATTAGGGACAGAGTTAGGGCCACAGAGACTTTAGGGCCACAGAATCGTTACTCAGGGACACAGAATCGTTACTCAGGGACACAGAATCGTTACTCAGGGACACAGAATTGTTACTCAGGGACACAGAATTGTTACTCAGGGACACAGAATCGTTACTCAGGGACAGACACAGAATTGTTACTCAGGGACACAGAATTGTTACTCAGGGACACAGAATTGTTACTCAGGGACACAGAATCGTTACTCAGGGACACAGAATCGTTACTCAGGGACACAGAATTGTTACTGAGGGACACAGAATTGTTACTGAGGGACACAGAATCATTACTCAGGGACACAGAATCGTTACTCAGGGACACAGAATTGTTACTCAGGGACACAGAATCGTTACTGAGGGACACAGAATCGTTACTGAGGGACACAGAATCGTTACTGAGGGACACAGAATTGTTACTCAGGGACACAGAATTGTTACTCAGGGACACAGAATCGTTACTGAGGGACACAGAATCGTTACTGAGGGACACAGAATCGTTACTCAGGGACACAGAATCGTTACTCAGGGACACAGAATCGTTACTCAGGGACACAGAATTGTTACTCAGGGACACAGAATCGTTACTCAGGGACACAGAATCGTTACTGAGGGACACAGAATCGTTACTCAGGGACACAGAATCGTTACTCAGGGACACAGAATCGTTACTGAGGGACACAGAATCGTTACTCAGGGACACAGAATCGTTACTCAGGGACACAGAATTGTTACTGAGGGACACAGAATCGTTACTCAGGGACACAGAATTGTTACTCAGGGACACAGAATTGTTACTGAGGGACACAGAATCGTTACTCAGGGACACAGAATCATTACTCAGGGACACAGAATCGTTGCTCCCGGTGTCATCCAGCGGTCGTGTCTCCACCGACAACCCTGCCGTCATCGATTGGTTGACTCGGTCGTCTTCCTCTTCCCAGGTCACCTCTGACACCTACAGCCAACGGTCGGTGGGTACGTCAGACACAACCGTTAGTTGGCATGGCCCGGGAGCAAGCCCACTGAAATCACGTGTCCTCTACCTGCCGCTGTCCTTTGGTGTTCCCTCACCAAGCGAAGTATCGCATGCTGTGGGCTCAGCCCCACTGTACAGTGAGGAAGAGCTAACAGAGGGCGGTCAGGAACGGGGGGAGACATCCGCCTCTTCAGCAGCCAGGCGAAGAAGTACTGGCGAGGAGAGTGGCTCGGTAGCCAGTCTAGAGACAGGTCTGTCTCCTGACCCACACGCAGCCGAGGGGGCTAGTAGTGACGCGGAGACCCTAATTGATGATGATGAGGCTGATCGCACTTGATAGTCGACGACTATCAAGAGTCCAATGGCAGAGTGGCGGAGCAGAAGCAGCTTCAATTGAAGGCCATACACAGGCCTAGGTTTAAAAGTCCCTCACAGTTAATTCCAATAACGAACTCTACTCCTCCGTGCAATCTACTTACGAGACCCTGGGCAGGTCTGGGTCCAATTTGTGGTAGAGACTGGTTTTGTTCAGCCATGCTTGAGCGAGTAATAACAGGTCTGTGCTGCCCTTTGGTGTCTGGCTTAATGTGCACAACACTGAACGTCCCAGCGTTTGTCAACGATTTGCCGTTAAGTGATGCAAACCCGCTGAACCACGTTCATGAGGAGCCGGTACAGGGGGCCATGAATCAGTATGGACCTGGCAGCAGCGTGAGCAGACGACAGAGGCACATGGCGCAGGGTGGCGGTGTAAGCAGCATTATTCTGAAGCCATACACAGGCCTAGGTTAAAAAGCGGAAGCCGTCAGCAGCGTGAGCAGACGACAGAGACACATGGCGCAGGGTGGCAGTGGATGCAGCAGTATTCGGAAGCCAAACACAGGCCTCGGTTAAAAAGCAGAAGCCGTCAGCAGCATGAGCAGACGACAGAGGCACATGGCGCAGGGTGGCGGTGGAGGCAGCAGCAATGGAAGGCCATACAGCACCCTATCACAAAATGGAACCCACCAACAGTGTGAGGAGACCTGAAAGTGGCACATGGCAGAGTCTGGCGATGAAGTCAGCAGCAATGGGAGGCCGTACAGGGACCCATGACACACTCTGGACCTGGCAGCAGCAAGAGGAGGCGGTACAGGGGCCCATGGCAGAGTGGCGAAGCGTAAGCAGCTTAAATTGAAGGCCATACAGAGGCCATGAACCATGTACCGCCTCCTCATGCTGCTGCCAGGTCCAGAGTGTGTCATGGGTCCCTGTACGGCCTCCCATTGCTGCTGTCTCCATCGCCACACTCTGCCATGTGCCACTTTCAGGTCTCCTCACACTGCTGGTGGGTTCCATTTTGTCATAGGGTGCTGTATGGCCTCCCATTGCTGCTGCCAGGCCCGTAATCTGCCATGGGCCCCCGTACCGACTCCTCATGTTGCTGCCAGGCCCGTAATCTGTCATGGGCCCCTGTACCGCCTCCTCATGCTGCTGCCAGGTCCAGAGTGTGTCATGGGTCCCTGTACGGCCTCCCATTGCTGCTGTCTCCATCGCCACACTCTGCCATGTGCCACTTTCAGGTCTCCTCACACTGCTGGTGGGTTCCATTTTGTCATAGGGTGCTGTATGGCCTCCCATTGCTGCTGCCAGGCCCGTAATCTGCCATGGGCCCCCGTACCGACTCCTCATGCTGCTGCCAGGCCCATAATCTATCATGGGCCCCTGTACCGCCTCCTCATGCTGCTGCTGCCAGGTCCAGAGTGTGTCATGGGTCCCTGTACGGCCTCCCATTGCTGCTGTCTCCATCGCCACACTCTGCCATGTGCCACTTTCAGGTCTCCTCACACTGCTGGTGGGTTCCATTTTGTCATAGGGTGCTGTATGGCCTCCCATTGCTGCTGCCAGGCCCGTAATCTGCCATGGGCCCCTGTACCGCCTCCTCATGCTGCTGCCAGGTCCAGAGTGTGTCATGGGTCCCTGTACGGCCTCCCATTGCTGCTGTCTCCATCGCCACACTCTGCCATGTGCCACTTTCAGGTCTCCTCACACTGCTGGTGGGTTCCATTTTGTCATAGGGTGCTGTATGGCCTCCCATTGCTGCTGCCAGGCCCATAATCTGCCATGGGCCCCCGTACCGACTCCTCATGCTGCTACCAGGCCCGTAATCTATCATGGGCCCCTGTACCGCCTCCTCATGCTGCTGCCAGGTCCAGAGTGTGTCATGGGTCCCTGTACGGCCTCCCATTGCTGCTGTCTCCATCGCCACACTCTGCCATGTGCCACTTTCAGGTCTCCTCACACTGCTGGTGGGTTCCATTTTGTCATAGGGTGCTGTATGGCCTCCCATTGCTGCTGCCTCCACCGCCACACTGTGGCTCCACACTCTGGTTTTGGCCCCGTGACTGCCCAAATGAGTGAAGTGTGCGGTGATTCTAAGATCGACGGCACTCATCTGCATGTCATACTGACTGACAGTATTATTTCTCTTCCCCAGCAGACTCCAAGGGCATTTAAATTAAAGGTACAGTGTTCTGCACTAATATAAAGGCTCTCTGAAGCCTAGAAACACCCTTTTTACACGTTAAATTCGCAGCGAATATATTCGCCTCGAATCGAATTTATTCCGCGAATTCGGCGAATCAGCCGAATCGAATTTTTGAATAATTCGCTCATCTCTAGTTACAATAACAGAATTTCCAATAGAGTTTTTACCACTACAGTTGTTAACTCTTGGATACATTAGAAATCTTCATAAGTCATTTGAAAAGTAAAAACCTTTAGCATATTCTAAATCCATCCATGGTGTGAAAGGATAGAAACCCCATAACAAAACAGTTGCTTATCTGCTTGGTGTCAGAGGCAGCTGATCACAAGGGTACTGTCGGTAACAGAAACATTGAAAAAGGCCAACATTGCCAAACTTTTTCAACCCATTTTGGAGACAACATGGGCTTGTGACCATGTGCCAATGCTGCCATTTTCAGGATGAAGAAGAGGTGAATTGGCAACTTGGAGGTAAGGAGGAGGAAGACAGACAAAGTTGTCCTCAGTGACACACGTGGTGCTGATAAATCTACCTGGAAATGTTTCTTTTTAACCATCAAGGAATTACAGTATATTGGGTTGCTACTTCTAAAAGACAAAACTTTATTCTACAGCCAAATATGCATCGCAGAGGCTGTAAATAAAATGGTGCTGCTCCATAACACCACCTACGCCTGTACCTTTTTTAAAATTTCAGCTATTTTTTGACAATAGTTTATCAGCCCCGCAAAAGGAACAGATTGAGGTTTAATCTATTTATTGTTTTTCTTGTTATAGTAAAACAATAATATTATGACAACTATGGAAACATACTGTCAATATCTAGAAGTTTAACATACCCAAGGTATTAAAACAAACAAGATGATGAATGACATCCCTATCAAGCATAGGGAAATAACTAATACAGAAGAGACTAAAGTATATATGTATCTTTATATACATATGTATGTACACAGTGTTAACAAAATTATATAAATATATTGTCACATTTTCTGTATAAGATCATGAACCAAATGATTAAGGTTACTGAAATCCTGTCAAAATAACATTTTATCATAAGTGAAAAAAAAAAAAAAAAAAAAGGAAGAAAAGAAAGATGAAAAAGACGGAGAGGATAAGATAAGGGCAGTCAAGATTTCTTTGTCTCAATCTTAAGTATCTATAGATAAGTAATATAACCAGGGTTGCCATGTTTTTATCAAATTTAGCTTGGTGGTTATGTAAGGTGCAGATCATTTTATTTTTAATCATCCAATTCAACTTTTTTCTGACATAGTCAAACGTTACTACTTATTGATTCCAACAACATGCAATGGCTATTCTAGCTGCTAGGAATATATATGAAATCAAATTTTTATTACGTTTGGGAGATTTTTATCAAATTTCTTAAAAAGAGCAATTTCCAGGGACCTAACAGGTTTGTATTAAATTGAGTAAAGTCAAACACTTTGATCCAAAATCTGTATCTTGGACATCACCTCCAATATGTGCCATAGTTCGTTCTTGACCACAATTTCTAAAACATCTAGAAGAGGCTTGTCGATTTATTTTACCAATCGTTGATGTAACCATATACCATCGCAATGGTATTTTAAAATTAAATTCCATCAAAGCCGTATTGATCGATATTTTAATAAGAATACTGATTGTAGCATGCCAATTTGAGAGTTCCCAAGAAATATTGAGACCTCTTTACCAGAGTTCTATATACAGGAGCTTGCGTGCAGGGTCAGTTAGACTAGTCCTAGTACTACTAGATTTTTTAAAGAGAGATAATAATAGGTCAATTAATCTTACTAAGTTTATTTTTCAAATATGAAATAATTTGGTTGTTTCAGGATAATTCTGAGAAAGGTAAATGTAATACAGTTTTGCAATAGTCAAGTGAGTATAATTTAGCTCCAGATAGAAATTTACCTGTATGCAAGAAATCTTTATTCTCCCACCATTGAAAAGGTTCAGAGGATATCCTGGTATGAATTCAGGGTTATTAAATAGCCAAGATAAGCTGTATGAGGCGAACAGAGTTTCTTCTTATACCTGTCCCATATTGATAATAATGAGAATGAAAGTGTAGGACATAGAATAGAGGGACAAAATCTACTAGGAATCCACATCATAGCTGCAATCAATCCTTTGGAGCATGAAAGGGCTTCTATGTCAACCCAACGTGGAGTCGGGCCAGGAATTGTAGTGCTAACTGAGCTATTTGAGCTACTTGATGATAAGCAACTAAACTAGGGATACCAAGACCTCCCTGTGCCTTTAGAGTATAAACTGTAACTTTAATAATTCTAGAGTGCTTATTTCCCCTCAAAAAATGTAAGACTTGTCATTGAAATATCAAAAGGTCTCGTCTAGGAATCATTATAGTGAGTTTCCGAAAGAGGTATAAGATCCTGGGTAGTATGAACATCTTGACTGAAGAAATCTTCCCAAACCAAGAAAGATATGGTCCTGACAATCTATTCATATCTTCTGAAAGTTTTCTAAACACAGGAGGATAATTTGCTGCGTAGAGGGCGTGTGGGGAGGAGGTCAAATGAATCCCCAGATAAGACAGAGAATGAGGGGACCATTTAAAAGGTTTGCAGAAGCAATAAAACTGTAGATTTAGAGAGATTCAGATTTGAAACAATGGATTTGCTCTTATTTACTATTAAGCCGATAATCTCAAAAAGAAGGGTAAAAGTTTCAGTAAATTAGGCAGAGTCGTATGAGGATAAGTTTTGTACATTAAAACATCATCTACATATAGTGTGCATTTATGTTCATATTGTCCGCAATGAATGCCTTTGATATTGGGATGAGTACATATAGCAATAGGTTCTATTGTGATTGTAAATAAAGTTTGGCCATGATCTCTCTGTGTGTTGTAAAGAGAGTTTTGTAAGTTGCACTCTGTCTAAGGATTTCTGGAGGAAACCGTAAAGTAAACTAAAGGTTCTGATAATGTTTGTTGTAATACGAGTGAAATTTTTTAAGAATGTGATGACGATTTCACGAAAGTGTTCCGTCGCTAAGTTTAAGTTTATGTAAAGCAGAGATCTGGGAAGGAGTTTATTTGCTAAGAGAGAGCCTAGCTTACATTTTCCATGTAAAGAAGTTATGTTGAGTCTGCCTTATAGATTTTTCAGCCCTAGTAGTTAAACATAAAGTGTTACTAAACCCACAACAGTAAAATCAGTCTGTATATGTAGTAAAGCATGCTTGTTATCCTCACTGTGGAACCTAAGAGGTGAATCCCCCACATTGTGTAAAAAAGAATGTTTGATCCTGTCTTCTCTGATCCTCCCATTCTTCTATTGCCCCCAATCCATCTGCTGATAGAATAGAGCCTTGGGGAACTCTACACATGCTCAGTTTGGTGTGTATTGCTAGAGAGTTTTTTTTTTTTCTTGGGATGTAATCAGCACAGGGCCAGTCAACACTGTCCTGACAGAGGGTCAGGGGTTATGCATCCTCATAGGACAATCAGGGTAGAATGAAAATCCTACAAGCTTTAAAAAAACAATGAGAGAAAGCTCCTGCGCTGCCAATACCCTCAACAAACCTGAGTGGCTGCTACCACTTATCTCTACGACCAATAGTGTCAAAAAGATGAATAACAAAAATGATGCTGCGCTACCCAATAACTAAAGAACAAGCAGTAAAATTATTAATATTGAGGGAAAAAAAAATTAAAATCTAAAATAAAATAGATGAAATATAAATGTGATCATATATATCAAACATAAAAGTAATAAATCACATAAAATAGACATATAATCGTGACACAATAAGTGATCAATAAATTTGGTGAGCAATAAAAATACGTGACCAAAAATGGATAATGACAATCAAATAGATCTCATAAACATGTGCATAAACTATGTGAAAACAAAGTGAGCAAAAACAATATTGCCGTGCACAGTCCTAATAATCTGTGCATCTTCAAAATGTTGTGACACATCCAGTGATTACCAACAAGTAATCCACCACCAGCTAGCGTGCGCGCTCATCTCTAAGCTGCTACCCACAAGGGTCATATGGCTTCAACATACACTCAAAAATGATGCTATTCCTGTATAT